TATATGTCATATCGAAGTTACACCAAAATATCTATTTATCCACAATAGTGTCAAATATTGTGAAGATTGAAGAAATAGGAGATACTATGAAAGATGAAGCATATAGAAAAAATTTTAAAGAAATGTCTTTTCATGTTTTTTATGTCATGTTGCAACTTCTACATATTTAATTGCTTAGATATATGATACAGTTAGTTCAAAAGAACTCATCCTACTCTGTCATCTATACACTCTATTTCTTTCGATATATGATTTATATGGTTTTCAATTATCTTAAGTTTTGATCTGCATTGATATTATTTGTTTTGTTTTATTGTAGATTTCTAATGGCTCGATTCGAAAAAGATTTTCGTCAATTATGTCGTCAAATTGATTCATTATCGGCTGGTCAAGCTCGTGCTAGTTGTGATAATATATTTAATCATTCAAATTCTATATCTCGTGCTTCCTTTTCATCTGATACTTCGTCAGATTGTGATGATTCTAACAATAGTCAAGCATTTTATATTGAAATAACACCACGTGATGGACCATATGCTCATGGTTCATTTGTTTTTCGTATTGAAGCTTCTACCGATAGTGATTATCCTGAATGTCAACCAACTGTTTCCTGTTTAACACGTCTATATCATCCAAATATTGATACAACATATCAAAATCGTTATAATAATGTATGTGTTTCGACATTAAATGATTGGGATGGTGGAGTTAATTCAACATTTGAAGATCTTTTACAAGGTCTTATGTTTCTGTTTCATTCACCTAATCCTGATGATCCATTAACATCAAATGTTTCAATAGATGAAAAAGAATTTTTAACTAATGTTCGGATAGCGATTGAAGGTGGTACAATTGAAGATTATGATAGTGAGCCATTTGAAATGAATTATGGTTATAAACAATATTTAATAGAACAAGAAAAACAACAACAACAACAACAAATAGACGAAGGAGAAAAACTTGATGATAATATAATTAGTATTCTAACTCGCGAACCAAATTTTAAACAACTATTTACTGTTGAGACATTGGATTTTCTTATGAATAATACATCCGCATCATCAATATCTCATTCAACACGACATAATAAAGAAACATCAATTAGTTCATAGAATAATCTGAAAAACTCTATTTTGATTTTTATTCATTGTATATATAGCTCAATTTTAAAAAAATAGAGCAAAAAGAAACACAGACAATATCATCTTTCGTTCATTCCCATCCACATACATGAGCAACTGTCTGGCTCTCAGATTATTGCTTTTTTCAAAACAAAGAATAGAATAATTTCCAACTACTACTAGTCGTTATAGACAAGTTTCTTCTTCGGTTTATCATATATTTACTTAGTGTTGTTTGAAATACTGATAAAAATTTGATTGTCAAAGAGTTTCAAAATTCAACGTAATGATATCCTTACTCATAGAAATATAAAAGCAAATTAGTATGTGAAACAACATTTTTTTTTTAAGAAGAATGATATAGAAAGAGTCTTATGTTAAGTATATAGTTTAATTATTCGTGCTCAATGATATATTAACAAATTAATTATATAAGGCAGAAATACAAAATTTGAATTGATCTTCAATATTCTAGGTTATCACTAAGAGAATTCATGAGATTGTTACTATTTACAATTAATTGGAATATTTTCTAAATAACTGAAGTGTAGAATATATAAATGACACGGTAGGATATACTGAATATCAGAATATGAAAATACATTATTACATGAAAAGTTCTCGATCATATATAATCACAATAAATTCTATTGAAAAGAAAATAAAGATAATCAAAATCAAAAGACTTAAATAATAAAAAAGAATTAGAGATATATTGATTATAGTTAATCGATATTCGATGGAAAATGATACAAAAAAAAAATGAAAAGTCATTAAATTAATCAAAAACAAAAACAAGATTCAACACTGAATTAACAGTGAATCTAATTGAAGAATTTGCTTACTGGTTAATGACTTTTACATAATCAAGTTTAAACGAGTAAT